CGGAGCAGGGACAGGGCACAGCGGGCAGGATGGGGACAGAGCAGGGATACAGGGACCGGAGCAGGGACAGGGCACAGCAGGCGGGATGGGGACAGAGCAGGTATACGGGGACTGGAGCAGGGACAGGGCACAGCAGGCGGGACCGGGAGAGAGCAGGGATACGGGGACCGGGGCGGGGACAGGACACAGCAGGCGGGACGGGGATAGAGCATGGAACAGAGCAGGGACTGGGCACCGGAGCAGGGACAGGGCACAGCGGGCAGGACGGGGACAGAGAAGGGGACAAAAGCAGGGACGCGGGTGAGGGGCGCCAGGATGGGGCGAGGAGGACGACACAGGTGACAGACAACAGGATGGGGAGAGGACAATGATGCAGGTGAGGGACGCCAGGGGAATGACGCGGGTGAGGGACAGCAGCACGGGGCGGGGGACACCGGGACGGGGCCGCGCGGGTGGGCGCCTCACTGGCCTTGGGGTCGGCGCTGAGCATGTTGAACCAGAGCACGGAGGCCCAGGCACTGGAGAGCTGGTTGTTGTTGGAGATGATGACGACGGGCAGCGTGGAGGTCTGCGGGAGGACGGGGGGAACGTCAGGGGGGCGCTGACGCCCCGTCCACGTCCCCGTCCCCATGCCCGTCCCCGTCCCTGTGCCCGTGCCCATAGCCATCCCCATGCCCGTGCCTGTCCCCATCCCCGTGCCCGTCCTCGTGCCCCCTCCCCGTGCTCATGGCCATCCCCGTGCCCGTGCCCATGCCTGTCCCCATGTCTGTGCCCATCCCTGTCCCCGTGCCCACCTCCAGCTCGAGCTCCAGCCCGCGGTAGGCATAGGCCAGTGTGAAGGTGATGATGTGCAGCTCCTCGGTCACGGCCAGGGGACCCTGCAGCGACGGGCGCCCTGAGCGGCAGCCGCGGCACCCCACGCACCCCACGCCCTGCGCCCACCTCGCCGAGGCCTTTGCTGCCCTTGCCCGACCCGCTGGCTTTCTGCTCCTTCAGCGTCTGTGGGGCAAGAGGCAGTGAGCGGGGCCCGGGGTTCACCCAGCTGGGGGCCCCGGCATCCGGGCGGGATGCAGGCATCCTACCAGGTGCTGGAAGTCGCAGACCAGCCCGTCCTGGGGGCTGTCGCCCACCGCCAGCGTTTTGCTGTTGAATGTCAGGATGTTGAACCTGCGGAAGCTGTGGGGCAGAGGGAGGCCGAGGGCGGGGGCTGCCGTGCCCGGGACCCCCCCAGGGGCAGCTGGGGCGCTCGCGGGGCTGGCGCTGCCCTCTCACCCTCGGATCTTGGGGGGGTCCCTGCAAGAGAGGACGAGGGGTCAGCAGGTGGCAGGGGGAGCCACGGGGGGGGGGGCGCGGGCGGGGGTCCCGACCTGTCGATGTGGATCTTGACCTCCATGGGGTGGCTGCGCTCGTGCAGGCGCACGAGGAGCCGCGCGCGCACCGAGAACTTGCTGGCCGTGCGCAGCACGAGCGGCCGCTTGCTGCAGGCCGGCATGCAGGGCTGCAGCTCCACCACGAAGGCGCTGGGGGCAGCGGGACGGGGTTGGGGGGTGGGGGGTCTCAGGGCCGCCCCCGGAGCCCCCCCGTCACGGCGCCCACCTCTGCAGCAGGTAGGTGAGCAGCTCCCGCAGCCGCGTCTCCAGCAGCGGCGGCTCCGTCTGCAGCGGGTCCCCCTCGTAGGTGACCTTGAGGCGCAGCTCGCCCAGCGCCCGCAGCAGCTGCAGCAGCTGGAAGAGCCCCTCGCCCAGCGCCGTGAACCTGTGGGCAGCGCGGCGCGTGGGCAGCGTGGCGCGTGGGCAGCGCGGCG